GCTAACACGATTCCCTTGCGAGTGTACGCTGAAACGAATCGCTCTTCCTCGAAACGGTATCTGTTGACACAAGTCATTTTCATAAACGTGCATACCACGCCTTTCCGCGCACGATAAAAAAAAAAAACGATAGAAAAAGAAAGAAAAATACTGGTCGAAGGAGTCATCTTGCAACATCTCGTCGGACGACGAGATCGGCTTTGAAAATCTGTAGAAGTATGTATACAGGACGAAAAATGCGAGGAACTTTCCAGAGTAGGCGGCAGTTTAATTAAAGTTTAACTAGCTAAAAAACGAGCGGTATCTTCCTCTCCTTTTTTTTTTTTCCTTTAAGGAATGAACCCGTGGAGGCTGCTAGTCGATCGATGGATCCAATCAGCACGGTATCGGATATCGTGCGTTTTTTTTTTTTTTTTTTTCCCAAGGCGTTGCCCAAACGAACGAGCATTTGACCGAGGAATTCCATCGAGCCGAATCAAAGAACCTTCCGCTGCCCTCTTCTTCGTGCAGGATCTTCCAGAGCGAAGGAAAACTCGTCGATTGCTTAATTGCTCGCCGCCTGCTTCGGCAACGAAGCTTTTATCGTTGCAAGTAGCGATGGGATCCGATACGCTTCGAAACGCGATTTGATATTTAACATTATCGGCAAGCCTTGAGTGTTTCAGAGTGTCTTGAACGTCTCGACTGCCTTGGAAGTTTTGAGAGTTGTAACAACAAGGTTTGACAGCGTGATGAGTAGTATAATCATAATAAACTCATAATAAATAATGTAAAATTGTAAAATGCCTGTACAGTGTCTTGTGATGTAAAATTATAACATATAACTCATTATATTTATATTTGTAATATTTAAATATTATATTAATAATTTTTAATAATTTTAAACTAACAATATGTTAATAAATTAACAATAATTTAAATATTATTATATTTATAAATATTATTTAAATCATATTATAACGTTTCATAGTAATAATATTATAATATCATAATGTTTCATATTAATATTATAATATTATAATGTTTCATGTTAATAATATTATAATATTATAATGTTTCATATTAATAATATGTTAATAAATTAACAATAATTCAAATATTACTATATAAATTTATATAAATTTATATGTATGTAATAATTATTTTATAAATATTATTTAAATAATATAATTAATATTTAAATATTATTATATTTATAAGTATTATTTAAATGTTATTATATTTAATTATTACTTAAATAATATTATATTTATTAATATTACTTACATTATATTCAATACAATTCATATTTCTTTTTATTATAAATAAACATACCACGTACTTGGCCTGTAACCAAGTAATTAAACGTTGCCAGCAGGAAACACCGCCAACGTTACAAACGACGATATCTTTTATGCAAACACGCCCTTTATGTGTAAATCCAATTTTTCCGCGCGCCGTAATTTCGTAAGCCGGTTTACGTAAGGTGGAGTAATAAGAGATATGGAAACGGGGCTAGAAGGTGCACGATGGTCAGGTAAGACATCTTCTAAAGATTTCTTATCTACGGAGTAGAAACGGCTGTTGACGACAACTGTTTTTCATCGTGAAGAAATTTGAACGCGGTAATCGTGGATCGAACGCGATCCTTCTCACCCACGAAATCGCGAGACAGAGTAAAAGGGGAGGGATAAAAAACGGTACAGTGGCTCGCGAAAATATTTCGATAGTTGCGAGAATGTATAAAATATTAATAAATTGATATTTTATATAAATTAACTTATTATTATTATGTAATATATTATTATTATGTAATATATATTAATAATTTATTATTATTATGTAATATATATTAATAAATTAGTATTTTAATTATATCAATACTAATAAAATTAATATAATAAATATAATAGTAATATATTAAAATATAATAAATATGACAGTGATATGTTAAAATATAAAAAATATGACAGTGATATGTTAAAATATAATAACTATGACAATGATATGTTAAAATATAATAAATATGACAGTGATATGTTAAAATATAATAAATATGACAGTGATGTGTTAAAATATAATAAATATGACAGTGATATGTTAAAATATAATAAATATGACAGTGATATGTTAAAATATAATAACTACGACAATGATATGTTAAAATATAATAAATATAATAATAATATATTAAAATATAATAAATATAATAATAATATATTAAAATATAATAAATATGATAATATATTAAAATTAATATATCAGTATTAATAATAAGATATCAATATTAATATAAATGTATAAAATATCAATATCGTAATGAAGGTATCGATTATATTAAAATGGTCTAAAATTTTAACGTATATACTCGTATAAGTAATACGAGTTTCGTACGAAATTATCGACTGTTTGAACAATCGAGATTACTCTATTAAGGATCGAGCAGTATACAAATATTTTAATACGATCGTGTGTGAAAATTTTTGAATTTCCTTTCGATATTAAAAAAAAATTATTGCACAATTATGATACAATTGTCAGGATTGGTCGAAGTTATCATGCACGAAGATTGGATCTTCACTGTTATACTGACGTATGAATTCTTTGTCTATCTTAAGATTTAATCAGGTTAATAAATCTTTATTTATTTGAAGTTTCAAATCAGATAAATTTTAAATAGGTTTCCAATCTTCTTGTTTCCTACAAGTGTCCCAATTCTATTCAATAAATATTCAATGAACATTCTATATTTAGGAATGTACGATAAATAAAATATTTATCGAATCATAACTGAATAGAATTTTATAATAGAACATTTACTTTTAGAGTATCTCACATCGAAATTATTAAAGTATTAAATACTAATTTAAAATAATTAAAATGTTTAAATTAAAAAATTTAATACACTACCATCACTATTACTAAATATTTAAATATACTATTAGATATAATTACTAATTTAAATATAATACTAAATATTTAAATAAAAAATTAGTACACAGTATAAATGTATACTTGTAACATATAATATAATAAATATTGAAAATCTCGCCGAATATCGAAATTTACTGATGTGATAGATCATGTTTATTTAAGTACTTTAGTATTAAATACATCATAACTTCTATATGTATATATTTAGATTTGTTTCAAACTTGATCAATATAATCATCACAGTGTATTGATCATTACATTATAGTTTAATTGCGACGTTTCAACACACTCATTACAATATTAACAAATATTTTTACTTAACATATACATATTTCCGATTTAATTTCTAAATCACGTGATGTGGCATGATCGCGAACAAATCCTGTTTAACCAACCTCCAACAAGTTTCGCGCAACATGCTAGCGCAAAACACTAGGAAAAATTATTTAATACCGCGTGATTGGAATATTTTCGTGTGCCACTGTACGCAAGAGTTAAAGGCTCGGCGCGAGCCCTTTTGAACCCAGTGAAATATTCAGCATTTCTCGATGCGGCGGGTAGTAAATAATTTCGTAGCCGACCGTTTTCCTTTTTCCCCTTTTTTCTTCGAGGCGCCGTGCATATAAGATATGCATCCGACGACGCGGTTTTGCTCGCTTTTTAGCTCGCCCGATGTCCACGAATTCGGGGAGAGCGCCTTCGCTCTTTCCGATCGTAAATAAACGGCAGCCTTTCTATCCCCATTTCTTTTTTTAAAACCGCGATACGTTCGGCTACACGCCACAGGAGATTTTCTCCTCTTTCTCTCGTCCTTTCTGCAGACTGACCACGTCGTCGTTCGACGGCTAGTAAAAAACGAGACAACGTACTTTACGATCGGTGCCTCGCCGTTTTGTCTCGCGAATCTACGCGCGCGGCGCACGCCAGGGATAGGCACACACCTATAAGACGACAAGAAAGAATGTTTCATCAAGCATTCGCGTTTCTGTCGTTTTCCTCTATTTCTTTTACACGTAACGAGCAGTGATTGACTCCTTTTGCTAATCGTTTCGATTACTGAATACGATCATAATCATTTATTTAATTGTCACTGTAAAGTGAAAATCAGTAATCATACAACAATTCTCGTAATTTGTCTTGATCATTTCAATCATTTTAGATTAGTTTTTATTCTAATTATAAATATTATATAAATTATCTATTAATGTCATATAAATTGTAATGCTAATTTATATTGTATGTAATATATAATATTATATTATTATTTTATTAATATTATAATGCAATATTTATATATTATTAATATTTTAATATTATTATAATATAATATAATATTTATATATTACTATTATTTCATTAATATTTTAATACTATAATTATAATATAATATTCTCATTATTATATATATTATACATTAATGTCATATAATTGTAATTTATATTATATGTAATATATAATATAATATTATTATTTTATTAATATTATTATATAATATTTACAATATAATGTAATTTTTATATATTACTATTATTTTATTAATATTTTGATATTATTGTAACATAATATAATATTTATATATCACTATTATTTCGTTAATATTTTAATATTACTATAATATAATATAATATAATATTTATATATTATTACTATTTTATTAATATTATAACATTGTTATAATATAATATTCTCGTTATTATATAAATTATATATTAATGTTATATAATTGTAATACTAATTTATATTATATGTAATATATAATATAATATTATTATTTTATTAATATTTTAATATTATTGTAACCTAATACAATATTTATATTACTATTATTTTATTAATATTTTAATATTATTGTGATATAATATAATATTTATATTTCACTGATATTTTAATATTATTGCAATATAATATTCCAGCGAAAGATCACGAATCTCGCCTCGTTAATTGCGGTCACCAGCACGCGTTACGCGTTTGTTACGTCAGGAGTAGAATAACCCCTCTCTTATCGACGAGCGCTCCCAATAAAATGATTGCAACGCGTGCCAATCTAATTCCGTTAAAATGCTTCTGGTAACGCGTCTTTCCCCGGGTAATCTCGCGACCGTGACACGCCGTGGTCAGTCGTTTCCTCCCCTCTGGAACAGCTGTCCGCAAGCTATCGGCAATCTTTCTCTCGAACGAGACGGTGACGTGTCCATAAACAAGGAAAAATCAACGTTTTGGGAAATTTTTGTTCCGACAACTTTTCAGGTGAATGGGATAAATTCGTCGAGGAGATCGCGCCCAAGGGAAACATGTTCCACAAATCCGAAGTGAAATCAGCGACGGGCATCCCCGAGCGTCGTCGAAAGAAATCCACCAACCAGGATAACCTGTACGTATATCTCGCTGTTCGATCGACGAGTTCGTTCAAAAGCAGGATTCGCGAAAGAATTTCGAATTAATCGCTTTAAATCACTGTGACCGCGAGGAGGACCGCGGAAATTGGAGGAAATTACTGAAATTAACTCGTCAGCTGTCGAGCTTCTTCTTCTGTATGATTCACAGTTTCATTAAAGTATGCAAATTTTTTTTCTTTTTTTTTTTTTTTAAACATTTAACGTAAGAGAACATTCGTTTTGATCGTGATCGATGATGCGGAATTTGTCCCTGTCGCTTCCCGGTGTTACTAGCAAATAAATCTCCCGCCGTCGCTTCCTGGTGTTAATAAAAAAGTTAAAAAGTTTGATTTACGTATATAGCTGCTTTATTACAGTAATTAAAGTAATTTTCCAAAGCAAGTTGATGTATCTCTTTTTTTTTTTTCCAATGGATAACCAGTTCTATCGCTCGAGATTTATAAAGATAATTAGCTGTGAGATTTAAAAGAGTTCTTGGAATGGTGCTCCTGCGATTTATAACCTTTTTCTCGTTCCAGTGATTCATGCATTAAAGAATCATTTACAGGGAAATTGAATTTAAAGAACAATAAAGAGCACGAGTTTTTATTTAAAAATACTCGACGAAAAATATCACAAATTTCTGAGAAACTCCCACGGAGAATTACGAATTGGCCATTTTTACCATTTCAGTAAGACAATAAAGAGCACGAGTTTTCATTTAAAAATACTCGACGAAAAATATCACAAATTTCTGAGAAACTTCCACGGAGAATTACGAATTGGCCATTTTTACTATTTCAGTAGGACAATAAAGAGCACGAGTTTTCATTTAAAAATATTCGACGAAAAATATCACAAATTTCTGAGAAATTTCCACGGAGAATTACGAATTGGCCATTTTTACCATTTCAGTAAGACAATAAAGAGCACGAGTTTTCATTTAAAAATACTCGACGAAAAATATCACAAATTTCTAAAAACTGTAGACTCATGAACCTTCCACGGAGAATTACGAATTGGCCATTTTTACCATTTCGGTAGGACAAACTTTCATTTAAAAATACTCGATAAAAAATATCACAAATTTCTAAAAACTGTAGACCCATGAAACTTCCACGGAGAATTACGAATTGGCCATTTTTACCATTTCGATAGGACAATAAAAAGCACAAGCTTTCATTTAAAAATTCCCCAATAAAGATATAACAAATTTCTAGAAACTGTAGACCCATGAAACTTCCACGAATTGTCCACTTTTACCATTTCGACAGGACAATAAAGAGCACGAGCTTTCACTTAAAAACACTCGACGAAAAATGTCACAAATTTCTAAAAACTGTAGACCCATGAAACTTCCACAGAGAATTACGAATTGGCCATTTTTACCATTTCGATAGGACAATAAAGAGCACAAACTTTCATTTAAAAATTCTCCAATAAAAATATTACAAATTTCTAAAAACTGTAGACCCATGAAACTTCCACGAATTGGTCACTGTTACCATTTCGATAGGAGAATAAAGAACACAAGTTTTCATTTAAAAATTCTCCAATAAAAATATTACAAATTTCTAAAAACTGTAGACCCATGAAACTTCCACAGAGAATTACGAATTGGCCATTTTTACCATTTCGATAGGACAATAAAGAGCACAAACTTTCATTTAAAAATTCTCCAATAAAAATATTACAAATTTCTAAAAACTGTAGACCCATGAAACTTCCACGAATTGGTCACTGTTACCATTTCGATAGGAGAATAAAGAACACAAGTTTTCATTTAAAAATTCTCCAATAAAAATATTACAAATTTCTAAAAACTGTAGACCCATGAAACTTCCACAGAGAATTACGAATTGGCCATTTTTACCATTTCGATAGGACAATAAAGAGCACAAACTTTCATTTAAAAATTCTCCAATAAAAATATTACAAATTTCTAAAAACTGTAGACCCATGAAACTTCTACGAATTGGTCACTGTTACCATTTCGACAGGACAATAAAGAGCACGAGCTTTCACTTAAAAATACTCGACGAAAAATATCACAAATTTCTAAAAACTGTAGACCCATGAAACTTCCACGAAGAATTACGAATTGGCCATTTTGGCCAGTTGATAATACGCATTTTATCCGCAAAGGACTCGAATACACCGCATCCAACGATACAATAGTAAACTCGCGTCTCCATCCAGTTACACAAGCAACATCCGCGAGCTGGCAATCCGAATTCCGATGAATAATTCATGCAATTGGTCGCGATTGTCGCCGAAACGGTTAAACACGACGCTTGCAGAGTTTCTTTTCCCCCGTGTCGGGATCGGCGATCCATCGAGCGGGTTCCCTCTGTGTCCGCTGTAATTTCTCGTAAATTGCTTGTCACGATGAATTAACCGACATATATACACGCTAGGTTAACGCGACAACCTAACGGAAATAAATGTTCCGTAACGGTACGTACGTGTCAATCGCGGAATAAAATCGAATCGGATTGGCACCCGGATTGAAAGGCTCGTTTTATATTTTTCGTCATTTCGTTGCTTCACGTTGCTTTCATTTTTTTTTTTTTTTTCTTTTTTTCTATTTTCTCACGCGCGTGGTTAACGAAGTTTAGGAAAGAAGTTTGAATAACGCTTGCAATTAATCAACCGCCGTCATTATGGTTTTTTTTTTTATTTAATCGTTTTCGACTGACCGCGGTTATTGGAAAAATCGAAACAGAATAATAATCATGAATTGACCATTGCAATTTATCGGAACAAGTCGGTGAAATACTCAGTCAGTTTAACAGGCGATCGTTATGCTCCTCCAAGGTCCCGTGGAAGAAAGCAAAAATCCGAGTTGTCGAAAAGCACGACCAATACCGCGGACAAGGGTTCGATTGACACTCGACTAGCTACGAATCTTCCCGACGATGCTGCGATACACTTTGGAAATTTCTACGGTGTCGAGAAGAATTCGAATCAACCGCGAGCTGGAAGAGCGAGGGCTCTTTTCGACTCGACCAGTCCATCGTCTATTGGTTACAAACGAACGCCGAGAGTGGAATTCACCAGGCAGATGGTTCACAAGTAAATGCAGATCGCGGGTTTTGTTATGCAAATTTACATTCCATTTCATTAGGAACTATTATTTTACATTTTGGACATTTTATGTATATTTACAATTTAAGGATATAAGAATGTTTAGTTTGAAAATAGAACATTATAAGAAATATTAAAAATTATTAAAAATTACTTGGGATATTATTGAAAATTAATATTAAAAATATTATTAAAAATTACTTTGGATATATACATTTTTTTCACATTGTAAATTGCTGCTTTCTGTGAGATTTAGCAAATTTTTTTACAAAACACACAAACATCTGCAGTCCAGTAATCTTATAGTAATTTAAATTTCCTATTTTCCCATGAACAAAAAGCACCAGAGTCTAAAGTGAAAAAAAAAGCAAAAGTGAAGTAAAGTTGAAAATTCTTAGAAAAGTCCTTAGAAAAAAATATTTTTTAGATCCCCTACTTTTTTTTAAATATTCAAAATTTAACAGACGTACGTAGACTTTTTTTCTACAGCTAGTAAAGAAGTAAATGCCCAAATACTCTTGGACTGACCCTCGTTTCTCCAACTCGATGTAAAGTTAATAACCGCAATAGAAAGATTTCTATAACCTAATACTCGCCGGTATTTGTGAGAAAAATTCATGCAACGGGCGGATGAGGGTCGAATTTAATTTCAAATAAGAAAGCAAATACCATTAACGTTCGATTAAGACACGAAATTAGCAAAATTAAGAATCGTATCCCGATTAATTCCCAGACTGGAACGAACAGCTGGTACGAAGGAATACGCGCGACAAGTGTCAGCTTTATTGGAGGAGACGGTCGAGCCGGCGCATTTCAAGCTGCATTCACTACCGACCGAGAATTCGATTCCGGACGGGAGATACAATCCCACGGGATTCCCGCTCTGGTGCAAGGAACCTTATAAAATGCCGTTAGTATTCCACTACTTGGTTACGTCGTTCCATCTATTCCGATCGGATTACACGCATTAGCGAAAAATAGGATACATTCTCCACCGCGACAACGAGTTTCCTTCCTCATTAAGAATGAATAAACCATCCATCAGAACGATAACCAATAAAAGGATGAAAGAATCCCAACGGGGGAGGGACTGATTCATACTTCGAGTACTCTGATCATATCATATTTAAACGGTACTGGGTGAAATTGTTAAATAATTATTTTGCAGGAGGTATAAAAGAAAATAAAAAGAAAATATAGAATATATTTTTTGCTCCAAAATTGTAATATTCTCTCAGTTTCAAATTATATTTAAGTAATAACGGAATAGGCAAAGCAAATATAAGAGGACCTCTTGCGCTGGAATGACGTGCAACACACGTCCCAAAATTGCAATATTTTCTCAGTTTTAAGTATATCTAAGTACAACCTAGGCAAAACAAATAATAAATTTATTATTTCTCAATAATTTCTATCCAGTGGTATCATACTGACTAATTCAAAAAGAAAGCGACGAATTATTGTGTACGGTTTGGTCACTCGTTATGGTCCGTAATCAGTTGCCAGCGCAAGTGGTTAAACCTCTTGCGCTGGAATGACGTGCAACGCACGTCCCAAAATTGCTATATTTTCTCAGTTTTAAGTATATTTAAGAATAACCCAGGCAAAACGAATAATAAACTTATTATTTCGATAATTCCTATGGTGTCATACTGACGAGTTCAAAAAGAAAGCGACGAATTATTGTATACGATATGGTCACTCGTTACGGTCCGCAATCGGTTGCCAGCGCAAGTGGTTAAAAGTACCTACTCGACACTTGGCCAATTCCGGACTAATTCTACAGTAAATAAAAAGAAGGTGTATTTTACACATGGTCGTGAAAATTATCTATTAAATTATATTATAATAATTTCTATGGGAAAGTCCAAACCTCGATTCATCGAGCTGTTTTCAATCCCTGACTCGATGAATTTGCAGGTTCGCTTCGAACGAGGTTTACGAACGTCTGAAAGAGGAACTGGACGACGCCGAGTACGGAAAGGCGAGAGACATTTTCGAAGAGGATTCTTCCGAAAGATGTTCCTCGGAGGAGTGGAGCGAGGACGGAGGAAATTTCCAAGACGACGGACCAATGAATTTCCTAACGAGAGGAAAATCTTCGATGAATTTACTGTCCAATTGGTCGTCTTCTATAACGGAGGCGAAAGACACGGACTCGAAGGAAAGCAACGACGACAGAAATGAGAAAATGTTGAACGAATAACGCTGAAGTTGTAAAGTGGTTTTGATCGCGAGCACACGAGGAATGAAAAGGCAATTTGTGATATAAATAGAAACATGAACTTCCTGTATATAGAGCCGAGACATTTACAATCAACAATTATTTTAGCCGACGCAATAGTCCAAGAACTCGTAACAATGTTGCTCGTTATCCAGTCCTTTTGATTAATTAGCATTTCGCTACTAATGGCCCGACCGTTATCAGAAGGCCTAAAACGCGATAGAGAATCCATTTAGAGATTCATTTCCAGCGTTAATTAGAAGGCCTTTATTATTACCCGGTTGCGTACCCTGTAATTATAGGCTAGCCAGATTGCTGTGAATCTAACGCTGTCATGAATTCATTAATTAACGATGGAGGTTCTTGCGAAAGGACGAGGAACGTTATACTGGTGACGGATTACCGGATATTCTACGCGCCGTACTTCCGCCTATTCTGATCCTTCCCATTTCTAACGTTTTTACCTTTACATAGGTAAATAACAGTAAAAAGAAATATTCGAACACGAAACTACCACAATTTTCAATTAATTGTAAAGTTAAAGTTGTCGTAAAACACGGTGTTTCTATAAATTTGTACTCGTCTGCGCAAACAAGAAACTTCTCTTTTCTCGTAAACAAGTAAACAAGAGCACCTACTTTGCTCTGAATAAGTTGAAACAGATTTCTTGAAATTGTTTTTATAACCATTCGGTGAGGTTCTATTTGTACGTTCATAAATGTATACAAGGAAGATGAGGTAAAGAAAAATAATCTCTAAAATTGACAAATTGTTATAAAATAATAATTATCTCTATTTATCCCGCTTCCAATTCCTCAAGTAATGCTAATTAAAGAAATATTCCTCTTATATCATTCCTATCTTGAAACATCTGTTGAAAAGTGTATAATCCTTCGGAACACTTAATAATTAAATGCAACTAAACTCTTACAACAAAGTTGAAGCAACGTAAACAGAAGAAAAATTTAAAAGTTAAAAGTTCTAATCTTTATTTATTAAAGTTTCATTCAGTCCCTGGTTATGTCATTCGAAAGTGAACTAGTCTTTGTAATTTATGATTATATATTTATCAAAATAAATCTAAGAAAATACTAATAAAAACGGAAACAGGAAAAAAGAAAATACAGGAACGTTAAGTGATGAAGAATTAGAATCAATACAAAAAAAAAGAAAAAAAGAATGCAACACGACGTGACAAGGGTGAACGATTCGACGTGGTTTTCTCGTTTACTAAAAGAGGGTGGCATTACTCGAGTCGGAGCGTTCGCATTGTTTTCGGTTCAGTGGAATTGCAAGAGGGCGCAGGATGGGGTCGGCACTTATCGATTATTCCGCCTACTAAGCCAAAGACGCTTTTCATGTAACTTTAACGTGATCGAAAATTAGATTTTCGTATCAAAGAGCACTCTGAACGAAATAAGAAAGCAAAACTGATCACTCGCACTCTAACGGATTAAGAGGATAATATAAAAAAAAAAAAGTAGAAAAACTTCCAAACAATCTTGAGAGGGAAATGTGATTTCTGTTTTCCTCGGATGATTCAAATAGACTCTGAGAGCATAATATATATACATTGGTTTATTTCTTCGTGAAACTGTACAGTATGGTCCACAGCAAATCGGAGTAAGTTTATTTATTTTAAATTACTTAACCATTGAGGCCATCAACTTGAATAACTGGGCGCACCGGATTAACTTACATCTGTGAAAAAAGGATATAGTCTGATAAACATTATACACGGTTCACGAAAAATCTATCGACCCATTCATAATTCCAATGCAATCTGGTGGTGAATGGCAGTTTGTATATCCGAGATACTGAACTCTGTTGCATTTAGAATAAATCGCTGTACAAAGCTTCAATTAAAAATCTATCTGCTTCTTTCTATCGTCCACTTCGAAGGAAACAATCAGCAACCAGTCCCATAAAGAGAAAAATTGCACAAACACGAGGACCTTTCCTCGTACTTCTCCCTTGAACATAATCCAAGGCTATTGAAGTACAGTAAAATGTACTTGTCAATTTCTGATCTATAACAACACGCATTTCTTTGTACTCCATGTAGTAAGAATGTGCTTTTTTTTTCTTTTTTTGTTTTTTTTCTTTTTTTTGTTTTCTATTTTTCAGACCTCAACGCAACTAGCTCCCATCGGATTGGTACTTTCGAGGCCTTCCCTAGGTCTTTTTCCACGAGTAATACATCTCCAAGGGTCGATTGACCCGCCAGAATTTATCGTTCACCTGCCTTAACGTCTGAGAGCCGCTTAAAACTACCAACTGACCGGGAGACGGTGCTATGTAGATACAAAAGTTCAATAGCCTGTCTGATTCTGACAATTCTGTGTCTAAATCCAACGTTAGACGCATGGCCAGGTACTTGCTTAGATGATCCACTATAAAAATTAATTGGAATTATTCCTTGATATCTCCCTTTCCGGATACAACCCTCCCCTCTCTTAAATTTGCACAATTCTGTCAAATATTCACCTGTCGCATTCGCCGTTGTTTTAATGTACCGAATGCTATTTTCTTTCAAAGCTTTTATGAGCGAATTATCACCGGCCATCTCTGTAGGATGTGGTTTGAAAACGAGCTCGATCTCATTGAGCATCAGAGGCTCGCTTGGACCTTCTCCTTCGGTGTCTACCATGGAATCACCACCACCAGTTTCAGCCTCTGCACTGGACGAGTCGTTTTCGGAATTTTGTAAACTTTTCTGCCGTTTTGGTGGCTTAGGAATTTGATTCGCTGGATTTGGCGATGGTGTGGTAGAATTTCTAGATGTTGTGCCTACAAATTTTACTCATTACTAGTCCACCTATTCGATCTACCTAACACTATCATTGAATATATCAAAGCAACATGTAACTAGAACCTTTTAAATTACCTCCGCTACTATTATTCAATGGGCCCGTGGTACTTTGAGACGAGTCACTTTGATTTGCTACGTTCGTAGCGTTCGGCGTGGCTGGGGCACTGGCATTTTGTGAGTTATTGTACGACGTGGCGTTGCTAGCATTCTCTGACTCATTGGCATTTTTCCTAGACCTTTGCGACCGATTTTGGCTTTGCAGTTTGATACCCTCTGTAATAGAATTGACCAGTGCCACCTGTGAATGCGACTTGCTCAGTTTCTCTAGTACTCTTTCCTGATGCGCCTCGTATTCGTCACGACTGGGATATATCTTAGAAATCAGTAAGTCAAAATTAGGATCCGGTCTGAGCGACCTCTTAGACACCAGTTTTTTCCTGCACGTCGGACATTCCTACAAACAGAAGTTCATGCCTTGTTCACATATCCGAGAGGCAACCTAACCTCTTCACTGACACTTCAACTCGCCGATAGCAACCATAAAACGGTAAAACCCGAGTCACACAGTCAAGAAACCAAACAAACTCCATTCAATTGCCAAAAGCAACAATTCAATTTTTTTACACAACGAAGAAATAAATACAGTTTGCTCCACTATTAAATAGAACGTAAGTCCAGACCCAATTGCGAGAACGAGTTGTTCAAATTTCCTACGTTGAAGAGTCATTGAAATAAAAGGAAACAAACGTTGCAACGCAGTTATTTACGATTACTTACGAAGCAATTCAAAAAGCGCGCTAAAATCACCGAATCTGACAGAAGCGAATACAAAACACGATCGTGGTCGATTGCTACTGATTAAGGAAGAATTATGTCAATCTCTGACTGTACAATCACCAACCGAGTCTACGTGCAAAGTAGACGGACAGTGTTTACGCGAAACCGATATATAGAAACATCGAAATGAAACAGTGACGGGATATTGACCGAGCGTTAGCGCCTATTTATTAGTGGGGCATGAAATTTCCAGATGTTCTACACCACGAAAAGTAAACAATAATCAAAAACTACGACACCGAGAAACGATCACGTACCTTATTACCACTTCTGAGCGCCGTAATAATACAATCGGAACAGAAACGATGCAGGCACTCTTTGGTGGTCATAGTCTTTTTAAGCATATCCAGGCAAATTGGACACATGAGCTCGCTGTGCAAGCTTCGGGGACTGACAGCGATCTCCGTGTTGTCAGTGATTGCATCCTGTGGCGTACGGTGCAGCTCGTAAAGCGATAATTCCCACGTTTTGTTCAGGCCGACTTGCTCCGCGGAAGCCATCTTGACTACACACAAGCTGTCAGCTGAATAACCTATGTACGCATCGTACACGCACACGCGACCATCGGGGGACGTCGCCGCGACACCTGGCGGCACCAACCTTACCGATTCCAGTCGGTAACGTAAAAAGTTGTCTACGGATTTCTTCTCTTTTTCATTGTTTCATCTTTTTCTTGTCTGCGCGCGTAACTGGCCGGGCGTAAACTTTAATTAGCGCAATAAACGCGTAACTGAACGCAAGGCACGGTGATGGAGTGGAGTTTCAGGAAGAAAATACGCGCCTAAAAATAGAACGTGCAAAAAGTTCCAACTAATAAGAGAGGTAAATCCCATCTATTTCGAAACAGCTCTGGTTATAAATAACAAAGACTTTTATCGCCAGTGATCCGAGAGACTGTCAGGAATCGGCATTAATTTAATGAGAGCGTTAAAGTCAGGATCGATAAAGTGGGTTCCTGTAATTGAACGGCGGGCGCGTTCAAAGGTTGCGTTAATGACCGACGATAAGTTGATAAAGTAATCCGACGTTCTTTGGAATTAAGTTCCCGCCATCGACTCGATCGACCTACGCGCTGGCGTAATTAACAGATCGTGGAAGTCACGGCGAACGGAGGAAGCATGAAAAGTGCAGGCATAGAGGGCGGGAAGGCGCATAAGCGTAGGCAAAATATGTTTCCTCGTTATAAATAATATAACGGTATATAATACCGTCTACGATGGGCGTAGGCTCGGCCATTGCCGCGCGCACGTTGAATACATCTTTCTGAGCGAATGCACGCCGATCTAACATGGCAAAACTAGATCGTCGAGACCCCGGACTCCTTTTTTCCCTGACCTTAACTGTAGATAACCGTAATCGCGTCTGTCGGTGCTTATTGGCAAAACGTGTTTTATCACCTTTCTCTTTACTAACGATAACATCGATATCGCGTATCGATCGCTGTACAGAGCGTTATCTAGATTTTGCTACGCCTTTTTGAAAAATATATATATTTACTCTGGCCAATGATGACTATGTTTTCGCATTAGTTACGATCGAATGGTACACGGTTTCGATGCAAAGCAGGTCAGTCAAAGAAGTAGGGGAAAGTTCCCTATATCGAGTCACTCGGGAAAATACTTGCACAAGTCGGAAACGTGGGCAGAAAAATTTGTGTAATTGATACGTAAATCCAACACGACAGATTGAAACGTTATTTAATTGGCGTAAATGACGTCAATCTGTGAAGCCGGTTTTCTAATTTGGATCGCAGATATTCTAGGATATGGTACTCTAAGATGTTCTATTTATTATAGTATTTATTATATCATTCTCATTAGTCTATTCAAAAATATATTGCTCACATATTGTGAAAAAACATTTTTTGCAACGTATTAATTGCAAGAAAATCTAGACTTGTATTTGATTGCTGAGCTAAAAGATCTGAAAAGCATGCTGTTTATTATCTTTCTAATATTCCAAGGTTTTACCATTTAAGAAACAGCCTTTTTTACAGAAGAAGAAACTCTCACGTGTTCTTATATTTATTCTGGAGAGTACAATTTAATTTAATTGATCCAATTTAAGACACTAACACAACTTCAAGTTTTGAGGTTATGTTAGTGTCTTAAATTGGACCAATTAAATTAAATTGTACTCTCTCTCTCTCTCTATATATATATATATATATTGTAACATTTGGCACTTGCACTAGTTTTTGTTTATTACATTGAAAACTTGAAGTTATGTTAGTGTCTTAAATTGGACCAATTAAATTAAATTGTACTATATATTTATATATATATAAATTGTACTATATATTGTAACATTTGGCACTAGTTTTTGTTTATTACATTGAAAATTTGAGGTTATTATATGTATATATATATATATATATAATAATTGTTAATATACAATAATATATATAATAATTGTTTATTACATTGAAAACTTGAGGTTGTTATATATATAATACTGAGTATATGTTTCTCGTTCTCAAAATAAGCTATATAATATCATGCCAAGGGAATGAATAAGTTAATTATGGTGCGATTCCTGTCTACATTAGGGATTTTCTATTTCTAGAAAACGCATACGAGAAGCGTAAGAACATTTTATGTAGAGCTTGAAGAATTTTCTGGTTCTATCCGCGCGATAGTTCAACGAACCTGGACATTTAACCAGTAGCATCTTGATGGCCTTTCGCAGGTATTTCAACATAAGCGACACAGAGAGTCCAGTTTGTTGTTTGTAAAAGAATAAACGATCTTTCAACGATATGCGAAAATTTATAGGTCAGTCGGCGAAGCCGACGTACAGCGTGATACACCTTGTTCCACTTAACGGCGATCCTGCACCGTCAACTTTTCAACTCGGCTTAATTCGCTGCCTCGCCTCTGGCGAAGAGCGACACATGAACCGTTCGCTGTCGTTCGATCGAAGAAAAAATAATAAAAAAAAAAATGAGAGAAAAGAAAACTCTAGGTTGAACAGTCGACGCACGACGATAATATTGATATTATTTTCGAGACACAGTAATTTTGGACTCGCGACGAACTGGAAACCACGGTTTTCGTTCCAGTTTCGACGAGCGGAGCGTGACGGCGACGAATTACAGGGAACAAGAGGGACCGAGTATTAGAAAACTATATAAAAACAGTCGGATCGCTGCATTGACATGCTTTCTAGCGGGCAATCATTCTCTCGGCGAGGCTTACGTAATTCCCAGCCAGCGCGATCTCCCCGCCATAAACCTGATGCCAAACCACGGTCACACGGGTATTATAGATATTACGGCACGGTTTGCGTATCCTTTTTTTTTTTTTTTGCGCGCATGTACGTACGTACGTACGTTCGCCTCTCTGCGTAGAATCGTATCTTCATTTCGCGTAAAGCTCGCGGGGTAACGCCCATCGGGGGCTATAGTCTTCACTGTAATTTTCGAACAATATGTTTTTACGCGGTGCCGATTCGCTGTGCTTCCGCCGCGAAACCCAGCAATCTTTCATCGCGCGGGGAATCATTTTTGAGAGGGCAAATCGTTGGAAGAAGCTGCGCGCGTAGCGCGAACGATTTATAATCGATCGTTCCGCGAATCGGCTATCGATCCCACGTTGCGAAACCTTGAAATCTTCTCCCTTGCACGCCGTTTCAACACGGGATAACGTGATATGAAAACGATGAAAACGTTACGTGATAATTATTCGAAAAGGAAATGAAAACGTTCGGCTGGAATTTGGCGGATCGCGCGCATCAATGATTTCGTTCGACTCACGCTACCCGTGAATTTAACACACACGACGACGGCTGTAATAATTATCATTTCTTTCGCCGACTTCCTTGTTCCCTACATTGCGCAAGCATCCGGAAGGAGCCGGTGTTCCTGCCGCTTGATACATGGTTACAAGTATCCGTTCAGCCCAGGTCAAGCGTGAATCTGACCCAGTAGAATCATCGTGTACACGGCGGATCCATCCTGACCCACCGGATTAACCGGCAGCCAACGCGTTTTATACTTCTTCTACGACGATCGGTGGGAGGGGAAGAGGAGGAGGAAAGGTCACTGCCTCGCGCGAAAGCATATCGGGGCTTTCATTCACGACACGATTGCGCAAAGGTTACACGATCAGTTATCGAATGAAAATGAAGTTCTAGCTTCGGGCTTCGCACATACCACGCGAGAAGAAACGTTCGATTCACCTGTTGCATCGCGCAATGCATGCCGGCCCGATTCAACGCTGAAGCCGTTTGACTTTGATCTAACGCGATTCGAACGACTTTCTTTCTTTCTTTCTTTTTTTTTTCTGCTTTGCAAATTTTTGTATAATCGATCTTTCGCACTTCAAACACTCTATCTTTAACAGTGGAACTACCGAAGTGGTCTAAAATGACTAATTCGTAATTTTATATGATTAATATTATATAATTGTATATTTTATATAATTAATATTATGTAATTTATATATTTTATATAATTAATATTATATAATTGTATATTTTATATTTTGTATATTTTTATATAATTAATATTATATAATTGTATATTTTATATTTTGTATATATTATACAATTATATATTTTATATTTTATATATACTATGTAATTATATATTTTATATTTAATATATATTATATAATTATATATTTTATATTTAATATATATTATATAGTTATATATTTTCTATTTTATTAGTTATATATTTTCTATTTTATATTTTATATATATTATGTAATTATATATTTTCTATTTTTTATTTTATATATATTATGTA